ACCTGGAAGACCGACGAGGGGTACTATGCCGACTCGCCCTCGTCCGGGTCGTAGCACGACACGACTGGGGGTCGAAGCGCGGCGATGTTGCGCTCCCAGCCGGGCGCCTCGAGCAGGTCGATGGCCCCGACCTCCTCGCCGCGAACCGCAGGGCGGTCGTCTCCCTGACCGCCGCGGTGGGGTGGGAGGAGCAAGAGGACAGTGTCCCCTCCGCTTGCCCCCTCGTCCAAGAAGAGTGCGCGCGCCGCGCGGAGGGAGGCGCGCTCGCCTTGTTGCCGGCGTTGGCGGTGGTGGGGGCGTCGGCGACGTTGAGCGTCAAGGCGACGATGTTGGGGCACGAAGGAGGCGGACGGCAAAGCGGTGACGGATTCGGCGGTGGAGAAGTCGGAGGTGAGCGCGGAGAGACCCGAGGCGCGACCGCCGCACGCAGCGAACAAAGAGCGCTGGTCCGCGATGTAGCAGATGTTGTCCGGCACGGAGAGCGTCAAGGGCACGCGCGCGCCAGCCGCCGCCGTTGAGATTCAGTCGCCCGTGGGCTGGGGTCGAGGGTCTTGGGAGCAGCTGTGTGCCGCGTGCGCTGTGGGCTGTGGGTCTGTCGTTCGGTGCGTGTCAGTTCTAAGATGTGGGTGCATGCGCCGGCAAACCTGGCGTCGTCGCCTACACAAGCAGACAGCGGCGGGGCGTCAGAGCCGGGCCGGGCGGAGCGGCGTGGCGAGAGCGCACGCTCTCGATTCTGGTGTAGGCGGAGATCACGCCGAACGGATCGTCTTTTTTCTTTTTTGCTAGCCTTGCCTTCGGAAGGTAGGTAGGGAGGTGTTACCTCACACTGTCTAGGCAGAGACAAGGAGGGCCCCCGCACACACGAACCCACACATACAGAGAGGGACGAGTGCACGCATTGGGCATCAGAGAGCCATAACTTGCCTCGGTATTAATATGATTTTTTCAAAGGGTTGCCCGGCCGGGTTGCTGCGCAAATCTCGCGCTGCGCTAGGCTCAGAGCGAGTTCGCGCTGCGCTAGGCTCAGATACGGCGTGCGCGGGCCGCCGGGGTGAGGACCTCACCTCCTTCGGGCTCGGCAGCTTGTCGGGCCGTCTACCTCAGGTCCTCAGCCCTCAGCCGAAGCTGGGGCCGGTCCTCCCGTAGGCCGTCCGTAACCGAGAGAGCCCCCGCGAGCCGCGTCCCGATGAATTCGACGGGCGTGGGCGGGTCGGCCGTCGGGCCGTCGGGGCGGGGAGGAGAGCGCGGCAACCAGCATTCCCAGTAGCCCGCACACCTTTGGCTTTGCGCAAAGGCTTTTTGCTTTGCCCGCAAAGGTCCGGTTTGAGAGCGGATTTTGACGCAGCTCGCCCAGCTGTCCCTTGTGTCGCTGCGCCGCTTGGTCCTTCGTTGAAGCTATTTACACATCACCTCGGTCCTCACGCTGGAAGTTGGCGAATCGATGCGAGGAGACATGTAGCATGCAGGTTGCAGTCTGTATAGAGAGCATCTGCACCATACAGACCCTCTCTGCACACACAGTGCACTCTTGGGTGGGATTATGTATTCCGCACCTGCATTGTGCATTCTGTACGACTCTTTTTTTGGCCTCTCCTACCTATATTGGGCGAGTGTTTGCATTCTGCACCTGCATCCTGCATCGGTACTCTGTACGCTCTCTCCTGGCTGTGGGTGAGTTTTTGCATTCCGCATTCTCCTGCATCCTGCATCCTGCACGTCTCTCACAGGAGCTGTAGATCTAGCTTTTGGGTCCGCTTCTGCATTCTGCATTCTGCATCTGCATCCTGCATCGGGTGGGTTCTGCATTCTGCATTCTGCATCTGCATTCTGCGTTTTCAGAGAAATACAGAATGTAGAATCAGTCCGTCTATGCAGAGGCTAATCCATGCAGACTGCAACCTGCATGCTACAAGAGTGGATGCGAGCGCGCCGCGTGCTCAACGCGCGGCGCGCTCGTATCGACTTGGAGTCCAATGCGCGCAGCGGGCGGGTAGCACCTCGGGAGCTCGCTCTACCCGGGATAGCCCGACCCCGCCAGAGCCACTGCTAGAGCCTTGGGGGGGCCGTTTTTCGAATTCTCCACCTCCGATAACCCTAGCCCCGGTCCCATATCCCCGCGCGACGCTCCTTTGAAAAACGCCACTTAGTACGGCGAGTGTTCACATTCACACCTTCGTCGCGATGCGTACGTCCCCAGGCGCCGTCAAGCAACGGTGCGACCGGTTGAGTACCGGTCGCGATGGCTTCATCGGCCGGTATGCTTTGCGCCCCTGCGCCCGCCCGCGCCCGCCCGCGCTCCCCACCCTTGAGCACAGCGCCCCCCACGCGCGGCGCCGGCCGGAGGGCGTCGCCGGGCGGTCGCGTCCCCCACCACACCCAGACATGAATCGTCCCCCACGCAGACACATTTCTCAGCAGACCACTTGCCACACCACTTGCTGCCCTCGCCCGGCCGCCACAGCACGGCCCGGCCAGGTCCCACCCGCTGAGAGATCGGGCGTGACCCATGGTCAGCGCGCACAATCGCTCGCGGGGCGCTGCGCGCGCGTCCCAGACCAACACAGCCACTCTCGCGTCATCGCCGTGCGCTCGCGCGGCGCAGGAACTCCACCATGCTGCACAATTGATCACCTGCATAGCTCGCGCGGCCTTAGTATCAAACATTCAGTGACGACCTGATCGTACGGCCAGTAGGAAGGTGTCCTTCCATCGTGTGCACGCTTCTGGCGCAATGCGCGTCGCCTCGGATTGGCTCCTGGCACTCTCGAGCTTCTCAGGACAGCGCCGGTGCCTCTCTCTTGGACCGGCAATAAACTTGGTGGTCTATTGTCACCAATGTGGGACCAGTGCGGCATCGCGCCATCGACAGCTCTGAACTGCGCCTCACCACTGACCGGGAAGGCCGCCAAGTGGGCCAGCACAGGTCGCACATAGATTGTGGCAGCAGTCAGCAGTGCATGTCTGATAGCTAGAGCACCAGCGTCAGGGTCGCAGGGTCGGATCGTGTCAAGCCTCTCGCCCGGCCGGCCGCGTGCAGACGTCGGCCTGTCTGCTGTCTGGAGTGATCTGTCGGCGGTCAGTGCGACCAATCAGGTCGGAGGTTTCTGATGGTTGGAGGGTCTATCTGTATGTATTCCTCGAGATCTCTCCAAATCTTCCCTCTGATTAACTTAGCTTAATTGGGAAGAATAGTTGGTGCTCTGAGCGACTCTGAGCGCCGGGCCCCGTTTCCGCACTGCGGCGCGGCGCACGGTGCCTCCGGGGGCCCCCGCGCCCCCCCAGAGATGCTGCGATTCTCGCCCCTTGTCCCAGGGGAGCCAGGTGCGTGTGTCTAATCGTAGTGGGGGCCCTGCCCCCCCTCTCTTTTCTGTTTGCTGTTTTTCAAAACGCCCGCCAGCCCGTCACCCCGCGAGAGGCGGGGCTCGGGCCTCGGCCCCCCACTCACCGAGAGATCAAAAACGCTCGGCCTTGCACTGGGGTCATGCTCATGGGCCTCAGGCAGTTCACTTTGGGGGCTACGGGTATCCCCCCCTGCTATACTTTGAGATCACTTCTCCCTGGGGGGGGGGCGCGGCGCCGCGCGCGCACACACTAATACGTGCACCATACTGTACTCCACGCTACCTCGTACATGCACCAACCAGACTCTCCACGCGCGGGCGCCCCGCGGTCTCTAACGTACGGTCCCCGACTGCCGACAGCCACGGAGCCAGCACGGCCACGAGAGCCCCTTCCGCGGCATCAGCCCAGCCGCTTGTGCTTCGCGGCCGCCGGCGCGCGCGTCTCCGACGAGTCATGGAAAAGGAATGCGAGAGCGATGACCACGTACCTACATGCTGAAGACACCGACATCAGGGCGGGAAGACGGCAGTGTGCAGAGTCTTCATAGCGCTGCGGGAAGACGGGAAGGGAGGGGGGGGGGGGGCTGCGAATGCAGTGAACACAGCTGAGCACGGCCGAATACAGCGGAGTCCGTGTCTCGCGGGTGCTGGCTGGGAAGACAAAGAGTCCGTGTTCCGCCTCTAGGCCTCGAGATACGGGGAGATACGGGGAGATACGGGGAGATACGGGGAGATATGGGGAGATCTTCCGCCTCTAGGACCACACGCACAGGCTGATGAGAGTAAGCCCCTTGAGCCAGTTGGAGCGGCCAGAGGGCAGCACCGTCGCCACGCCGAGGATGGTGAGCACGAGGCAGGCCGTCTAGCCGCGAGATGACCCGAGATGACCCGAGATGGCGCGAGATGGCGCGAGGTGGCGAGCACGAGGCAGGCCGTCTCGAAGGGCAGCACCAGGAACAGCGAATGAATCTCGGGCGATCTCGGGTGTCATCGATCATCTGCAGACACGCACCACTCCCTGCCCCCCCCCCCCCCTCTCTCTGTCTCTTTGCATTCATCAAATCTCCCATCGCACGCACCTCGAAGGGAAGCATGTCGAGCGAGAGAGGCTCGCCATATGCCCACGCCGCGAGCACCTAAAAAAGAACACGGCGGGTAAAAAAGAATTTTGAAACAAAACTCCCTCGCACAACACTAGGCACGGGACTGGCGCGCACTGGCACTAACACAGGTGTGTAAAAAAGAAACAACAGCGCGCACGGGTGAGTAGGGAGAGCAGCACCGACGCCGGGAATACCTCGAGATACGGGGAGATGTGGGGGAGATAGGGGGGAGATATGGGGAGATAGCACCGACGCCGGGAAGCCCAGCAGCGTGATCTGCGTCGCCGACCCGACCGCGACTCCGATGGCGAGGTCGGGCTTGTTCCTGGCGGCGAGGGCGACCGCGTCTAAGGCCTCGAGATAGGGTGAGAGATGGGGGGGGAGAGATGGGGGGAGATCTTGTTCCTGACGGCGAACATGACCGCGGACGCGTGCTCGGCGGCGTTTCCGACGATGGGCAGCAAGATGGTGGAGACGAATGCGAGTGGAACCTTCGCACCCGCCGCGGCCCCCTGGATCGACCCGACAACCACCTCGGACAGTCCCGCCGTGGCAGCGCACAGCAGCGCCAGCGCGACGGTCGACTGGCGGAAGCTTAGCTCCTCCTCCTCCTCCTCCTCCTCCTCCTCCTCCTCCGCCGCCGCCGCCGCCGCCGCCGCCGCGGCCGCCTCCTCGTCCTTTTCCCCGTCGTCGTCGTCGTCTGCCGCAGCGGCGGGGAGGCAGGCCACTGTGTGCGGGCGGCGGCCGACGCCTGTGGGAGGAGGAGCATTCCAGCCTCGGGGCGGGCTGTGACGTCTCGCTGCTGGCTCCGCTCTGCCGCGCGGCAGACGGCCCCTCTCCTGGGTGTACGGGCAGGGGCTTCGCACGGCGTGCATGGCGACTGCAGTCCAGCGGAGCGCAGCCTCGAGCACGCGTGTTCGAAGGGGTGCTGGTGTGAGCTCAGACGCCCTCGCACTCCGCGTCTAGGGCCTCGGGAGAGGGGGAGAGAGGGGGGGAGATCTCGGGAGGTGCGGGGGAGATGCCGAGCTCAAAGGCGATCAAGCTCGCGTAGGAGAAGAGGAGCACGACGGAGACCCACCGCGAGAGCGAGAGCACGTCGCTCTCCGTGTCCTCGTGCCGCGACGACTTTGTCTCGCCTGCAGCGTGCAGCTTCGGGTTGTCGGGCGCGGGTGTCCTCTCACCAGCTGTCCTGTGAGCTGTGAGCTGTGCAAGTGTCTCGGGAGTGACCCTCGCCGAGGACGTCCGGAACAACCATAGTCACGGCGCCCAGGACCAGGACTGCGGCGTGCGCCTCTGCGCTCTTTTGGTCGTATCGCTGCGTGGCGTGCCGCACGCCCCCAAAGAAGAAGGCGCAGCCGAGCACGAGCAGCAGGTTCGAGAGGACCGAGCCCAGTAGCGAGAGCTGCACCACCCGCAGCAGCCCCTCGCGGATGGCGCAGAGCGACACGATGAGCTCAGTCGCGTTGCCAAAGGTGGCGTTGAGCAGCGCGCCAGCCTGGCTCGAAGTGTGGAGCGCCGCCTGCTCCGTGGCGTAGCCAATGCGCTCGGCGAGCGGGCAGAGCGCTGCAAGCGCGAGTAGGAAAGAGATCTCGTCGCCGATGCCGAGGCGCGCTGCCAAAAGCGCCGCAGGGCCGCACGGCAGGAGCAGATTCAGCCGCGAGCCGAAAAGGACGTGCAGCGCGGCGTGGGCGGCTGATTTGGTTCGTCGCCTCATGCTCTCGGCTCGTGCAGGAAAGGCGGAGCGGCTGGTGCTGCGGCGACGCCTCCGCGCATTTCGATGGCGAAAAACTCCTCGGCAACCGATGCGAGTCGGGACTAGGGATCCCTTATATAGATGTTAAGTGTGGGTAGAGGGAGATTCGCGCGAGCTGCGGGACCGCCGGGACGGCGGGCGGGTGATTGCGACTCGCCGCCGCTTTTGGCGACTTTTCGCGACTTTTGGGACGCGCGATCGACCGGCGAGAACGATATGGCGGGCGAGGCCGTCACGGCCATGATCGTGGCTGACGACGGCGGCGACGACCCCCTGGCGGACCGCCGCGAGGACCGGGAGGCGGCGGCGGAGCGGGAGAGGAAGGCGAAGGTGGCGAAGCTCAAGGCGCAGACGGCGAACGCGATGGAGGTGGTGCGGACGCAGCAGGCCTCGAAGGAGCGGGGAGCCTTCGACGAGGCGGCTCTCACTGGGATCCCTACCCAACCGATGGCGTGAGATAGGGCGCTGACCTTTCTCGCCGAGGCTCGCCGTGGCCCCACACGGCGCGGCCGGCCGCTGCGTGGAGGCGGCAGCGGGCGAGGTTGGCGAGCTGCTCGGCCTCATCGATAACGCCGACGTCACGCGCCGCTTCGACGGCTACACGGACCGTGCGGCGACGGAGAAGAAGATCCTGCGCGACGTTGCGGCGGTCGGAGACCTCTACTTCTCGACGGGCGACCTCGTCCGGCAAGACGCGGAAGGGTTCGTGTACTTCGTGACCGCATCGGCGACACGTTTCGCTGGAAGGGCGAGAACGTGTCGACGGCGGAGGTGCGCGCACCAGAGGCCAATCATCGATCGGAGAGATCTCACCGCGTGTGCATAACGACCCTCGCACCGAGTGCCCAAAGGTGGCGGAGATACTGAGCGCCGCTCCGGGCGTGAGCGAGTCGACAGTCTACGGCGTCTCTGTCGGCTCGCTCGAGGGCCGCGCCGGCATGGCGGCGCTCGTCGTCGAGGCCGCAGCTTCAGCGTTGAGGCGCTGGCCCAGACCGTGGCGTCCTTACCCCGGTACGCCCGGCCGCTCTTCGTGCGGCTCCTGCCGGCCCTAGAGCTCACGGCCACCTTCAAGATTCGGAAGGGCAAGTTGGTGGAGCAAGGCTTCGACCCGGCGGTCGTCAGCGACGTGTGGCTCTACGAGGAGGCGGCGGGGGCGTACAGGCCTCTGGATGTAGAGCTGCACAGGCGGCTCGTAAGCGGGCAAGTAAAGCTCTGAGCAAACGCCTCGGCTCTAGCTAGTAGCCACACGCGTCTACCTCTTGGAAGGAAAAACGCCAACCCTTTTCCTGGCTCACAAGCTAAGGATGTTCACAGGCCCTCACACTCTCCCGAATGGGGAGCCCCGGGTACTCTTTTCGTAGTCTTTTTTTACGAGCAGCTGTACTCGTCTAAGGCAGGGGTTGTGTTGCGCGCACCTGTCCGCGTCCCTTGCTGCACACAAGTGCTTTATCCCGCGCAGCCACCCGCCCCTACCGCGCACCAGCCCCGATCGCGCGGCGCGCGTGAATCAAAAACCACCGTAACATTCTTTTTTTGCACAACACTGTAAAATTCTTTTTAGCTAAGTGCCTCGCCGCCCAGAAAGAAAACAGACAGGGACGAGGACAGGGTCCTGACGCCGCGCCAATGGCGCTCAACTCCACACAGGGACAGGACGGGATTGCCGCGAGAAGAGACTCCGACGCGAATTCTGACTAACGGCCAAGTCATAGGTCACCGCCTACCTCGGCCTCACTGTTGCCCATGACGGTCGCAGCCTTCGAGGGGGTGGCCCAGACGGCAGGGTCGAAAGCCCAGCCCGCCTCCAGTTTCTTTGTGATCCTCGAGAGGACGCTGGTCGGCAGCCCTGCGGTCAGTTCCTGTGGGGTGCACGGTGGTATCGGCGCGCTTCACCCGCACCCACGTTCTTGTCTTCGTGTGACTGTGTTGGAGGCCCTATAGGCCAGGGGAGGCCGGGGTGGCGCACCTTTGCTGTCAGCCGGCCGTTCCCATCCACGTCGCACTTAGCGAAGATGTTGGAGATGGTGTCTCGCATTTTTTTGCTGTCTCGATTGAAGCGGAAGGCTTGGAGTGCTTCTGTGAACTCGGTCTGGTCCAGCCCGTTCCCATCCGTGTCGAAACACATGAGCGCCTTTGTCGCTGCCTCTTTCATCGCGTGGCGCTCGGTTGCAGCGGGCCGCCCCTCGGGAGATTTGGCGTAGGCAAGGGCCGCCTCCTCGGCCGTTTTATAGGTGCCGAGAGACACTGTCTTTCCATCACGCCTGACAGTGGCAGTGAAGTGATCGGCAAATTTACACTTTCCCACATTCTGGAACTGCGAGACGTCGGACAAGCTGGGAATCAGGGCAAGGCCTTCCTCTGCTGCCTGCTGGACCACCTGAGCTGCAGGGTCCATTATTACGGACTCGTCGGCGGTCGCTCTGCACGAGGTGCATGCCCCCCCCATCGCGTGAGACGAGGGCCGTGGACGTAGGTGAGTATATATTGCCAGAGTGGCAGAGGACGTACGTACAATTCCCTCATAGTCTTGCAGCATCGTTGGTCTAGTGGGAGAATGCTCGCCTGCCACGCGGGAGACCCGGGTTCGATTCCCGGACGATGCAAAGTTTTATTTTGTAAATTGTTTTCCTGGGCTCCCAGAAAGAGGCTTGCGCGCGTCCCCTTAGTGCGTTACGGTCGTGTAACACAGCCAACCGCACGGTGCTGCTCTACCTCAACACACACGCGACGAACGGACGATATTGCTGGCAGCATGAGCATCCGCCAGCACCCCCGTGAGCTGACAGCCCCGCCCCCCTGCGCACTCCAGTACACTCCTCGTACGCAACACCAGCAAACTACACCATGCTCTCGCCGCGCGCCCCCTCTCTCTCGCTCTCGCGCGCGGGGAACCGGAGACTCCCCCTGTGCCCACCGGCAGGCAAACGTGCCAGCAACAACCGCGCGAGCCTCCGGCCTCGCTGCGGGCCTCTCTCCCCCCTCGGCCCTGCTCACGCCGCCTCCTCGGTGGCAAACGTGACGAGCAGCGCCTTCTGCGCGACGACGTCGCCCGCGGCGGCGTGCAGCACGTCGACGGTCGCCTCGGCGGCGGCGACGAGCGTGTGCTCCATCTTCATCGCCTGCACAACACGAGACAGGGCGGGCGCGGCTCAGAAGAGGGGAGGGCGACACGCGCGCGCGTGCTCCAGCTTCATCGCGCCTCGAGCACCGCGACCGCCTCGCCCGGCGCGACGCGCTGGCCGGGGGCGACGAGCAGCCGCACGAGCTTGCCTGCGGGACAGCGGACACCCGCGTCTCCCTCGGGCGATCAAACAGCAAGACGGGGGCGGCCGCGCGCACCCGACATAGGCGGGACAATCGGCCGTGGCAGGGCTCCAGCCTCAGACGCCGCCGCCTCCGCCGCACGCACCGCGGCAGGGGGGGCGACGTCCGAGACGGCCACGCGCAGCTACTCTCCGCCCACAAACAAGTGAACATGGGCCGCGGCTTGAGGGCCAACGGCGGCGTCCCAATGAGGAGAGGGAGGAGCCGGGGCGAGGGGAGGCGGGGACGGCGATAGCGTGCCGAGAAGGAGAGGAGAGGAAGGGGGGGGGGGGTATGATCGTGCAGCACCGCAACCTCGTTCGTAGCTGGTCATCTCTCCCCCCACCTCCCCCCACCCCCCCCCCCCCATCTCGCGCACCGCGGGCTCATCCGTGGCTGGCCGCTCGATGAAGGCCGCGCCCCGCACGCTCTCGCCCCCAATCTGCGCGCGGAAGGTGCGGCTCGCCCCAGCGGCAGACTCCTCCACCAGCTCGACCTACTCACCGACGAGTCATGACCGATCAAGGCCCCCGCGGGTCCGCGAGACGGCCACCGGCAGCACCGCCTGCCCCTCGGACGGGCAATCTCGGGCAATCTCGGGCAATCTCGGCAGCACCACCTGCCCCTCGGACGGGCAATCTCGGCCAATCTCGGCCAATCTCGGCAGCACCACCTGCCCCTCGGACGGCTGCCAGCCGTCCGCGCCGCCGCCGCCGCCGCCCTCGCCGCCCTCGACGCGGTACCCGTACGACGCGCCGCCCTCGCCGGCGCGCCACAAGCGGAGCTGCATCGGCGCGCCCGCGGGCGCCCCCTCCTCGTCCGACGCCTGAGGAGAAAGGAGAGACACAGCGAGTGCACTCCTGAGCACGATGATACTGACTGGCTGTCCTCTTTTCCGCACCCCTTCTACCAACTCGAGCCGTGGTGGCGAGTGGTCTCATGCGCGCACCGATAGAGACTGGCGGTCCTCGGGTCCGCACCCCTTCTCCCAATTCAAGCCGTGGCGGAGAGTGGTCTCATGAGCGCACCGATGGTGGCTGGCGATCCTCGGGACCGCACCCCTTCTCCCAACTCGAGCCGTGGT